AGCTTCCCATTGCAGCATCTCAGTCCTTCAGAAATGTACTTCTCATGCCATCTGTGTGGTAACAAATTTAGAAAAATGAGTAGTATCTTGGCAGTCTTAGCAAAATATGCTCAGGATGCAGAGGAGGGTGGTGGGGGGTTCCTACCAAATAGGGCATTCAGTATCTGAGTCAGAGGCAATGACAGCATCTAAGCAGGGGGCTGTTTTCTAAGAAATATGCCATTAATTTTGTGGAGCCTGACACAACTGTGCTGCATTTCAGCTGAAGCCATCCCCTTCAGTCCTGCTGATGGCCTTGTCGGTACAGAGCCTCCAGGTCTGCCGCTCTCCTTGTCCTCTGCACCTTCCCAGATGCACTGCAACAAGCTACTTAACAGAAAAGACTCTACAAGAACATCCCAAAACCTGTCTGTTTAAAACCAGTGGCCATTTTATGAATGACCAATGTGAACGATCCCATCTCTAAAATACAGGTAATCCTGTCTCTTTATTTCCCAATGCAAGTGCAGATCACGGACATTTGAGAAGTGTCTTGAAAATTGCAGGAGATGATAACATCAATAACAGCACACCATGAGATGCAATATTATTACAATAATAATGGCTCTCATTTCAGACTCCTGCATTTTTCAGGTCATCAACCAAAATCATTAGCAAAACAGCCCTTCAGGAGATGAAAAATCTTTGCAGTGTAATGCAAGCTGCTTCATTCAATTTATTTATTCTCCCCTATGCTGTGCAAAGTGCCTGCCACCATCCCTCTAACTACCAAGAGAATTGAGAGTGCCCCTTCTCACATAAAAAGATTAGGCCCTCTGATGAAACTAAAGGGAAATCTGAGAGCAGCTGGTCACAGCCTTACATTCCTGCAGTCTTGCACTTTTTCTACATTTTTTCTCCTTTAAGTCCTGTAATCTTCATCAGTGATGTCAACACTGAAACCACAGGGACAAACCATGCAGATCAGACTCAAACCTAAAGGAAATTAGCTCAGCTAAGCTACTGCAGGCACAGCAGGGCATCTAGTACCTCCCAGCTGTGCCTCCCTTCAGGGGGGAAGAGAGGAGATAGCTGAGCAGCTTTCAGCAGCCCTCATCCCCAAGCCAGAAGTGGTAAGAGCAGCATACAAGAGCTGTGCATGGTTCTGCTGTGGTAAAAGGCAAATGCTGCCTACTCTGCAAACTGAGCTCTCTGTGTTGTTGAGAGATGAGAGTTCCCCAGCAAGAGCCTTCCACATCTTCTAGGGCAGGAAGAATTTTGCTTTGATCTTGAGAACAACTGCTGAGGCCTGTGAACATTTCTCCCATCTCTTCTGCTCTACCTGCTGGTTTTGTCATTTTGCCTCATTATTCCATCCCTCCTTTCCTTCCTCCAGATTAAGAGTAGCAGACAACGGTTGGGTAGACAAGGATCCAAAAAGCAAAAGAAAAGCCTTGCTCTTGCTTTAGGGCAAAATATAAGAAGTTCTCTGTGTATGTGTACCTACATGTCAGGTACTTCCTACTGCTCCTACTTGGACTTCACCCCCACCCCACCCTTTTTAACATTTGAGGTTCAAGTCTACAGAAAAGAATGTTCCAAACTTCAAAGTTAAATGCAAAGGTGGTATTGACAGCACAAAGTTCTGTGAACATGCATGCAAAAACCTGATCCCCTCTTCTTCCTTCCCTTGCTTTCAACCCAGGATGCTTCCTTGGTGAGAAGCATCAACAGGAAGTTCAAAAGAGCACACCAAAAACTATTTTTTATCCTTTTTCTCTTTAGGGTGCTTTTATTATATTAAACTATGTTAACACTACAAAAACAAAGGCAACTCTTGTGGGAACAGGAGGCTGCTTTTCCCTATTGTTCACAGAGAACCCTGGCTGTTGGAATGGATGATATGTTAATTTTGTGGCACAGGCACTCAAGGGAGGACATAGCAAAGTCTCCCATGGTACAGTGCACACAATTTACAATGGACATGGGTAGGGTTTAATTGTTTGTTACAGGCCTTGCAAAGATGCTTCTCCAAAGCAAAAATGCTACGAAATACATTTTTTTCTAATCACATCAGAAAATCTTCAGTTCATAAAGCACAATTTCTGAACTGTTACGGTCAACAGCTGCTCGGATGTTTGAAGGAGGAGCTGGCAAAATAAAAAAATGAAAAACCAAAAAAACTAAAATAGGCCTCAGAGATTTCATGTCCTATAAAATAGCTCCCTACAATCTGTTTAAATGTCCTTTACTTCAAGCAATATTCCCAAGGCTGTAGACCGTTCCAGGGCAATACTTGCAGCAAGAACTCCTTGTGTTCCTTCTGCTTAGGGGGCTCCACAAACACACCGTAAGATTTATGCCTTTCCCTTTCAAAACAACCTCATGCAGTTGTCTGCAAAAATTAATTTATAAAAGCATACAGAAGAAAGGAACATGTTAGCTCAGGCTGTTGAGTTATTGGGGGTTTTTTTCAGGTTTTTTTTGGTGGGGGTGGGCTGGGGGAGCAATCACTAATGTCTACCATAAATCTCTCACTCATAGCCTCAGCTCACACGCTAGCACACACACTTTCCTTCCCCTCCTTCCCTCTCTCCCTCCCCACAGCCATGCCGGAATGCGTCCGAGTTGGCTGTGCAGTGTTGCTGATTAAAATCTGCCAGTAGTGAGACAACTTAGTATTGAGCCTACAAGGAGACTGTGTATTTATGAATGCAATAATTAATCAATGCATAATAAGCAGACACTGCACATACCACTTTTCTCTCCATACACAGACAACTTCAATTACCATGCAGGTTTCAGTGTCATGACAATCTTCAGTTCCCACTAGCTGCTCCCCCACCTTGCAGCATTAGCAAAGACAAGCTCACTGTGTTAGAGCCTACATGAATCTGCAAACCCACCCAAATACTGCTAAATTTATTAATTTTGCAGGTAGAGGTTTTCAGAAGAAAATGCCATAGTTAGTGCCACAACGACTAGGCTGTCACAATTTTCCTTTTACTTTTTTCAGAGGCTCAGCTGCAAAGTGTACTCAGAGATGTGAGCTGACAGACTGGTTTGCATCTTAAGAACATATTTCATTTTAATGGCTTTATTTTTAAATTGTTTCAACTCTTTGAATTAATGGAGACTTAAAAAAAGAAATGAGACTGACAAAAATGTAAAGTAGAATATTTTCCCCTTTTTTTACCTTTTAACATCAGGCTATATTTATTTTCAAGAAACTCAATAATACCCAGTAACAGGACTGCACACCTTTTCCCCCCTTCAGTGTCCATCCTCTCCAGCACCACTTTCTGCCCAAATGGAAGAACAGAGATACTCTGCCCTAGAGATGAGCTTCCCTGCTAACCCTCTGCTAAGCCATTTGAGCCTGCCCTGATGATACCTGGAGGTGAGTAATCACCCTAAGTTTTAATTGCAGTGCCATGGACACAGCAGATGATTATGTGCCCTCCCTGAGCCAAGGGCCAGTGTTTATTGCAGACTTGCTGCATGTAGGGACTGACCAGAAGGTTGCAGAGATCTGCACTTGGCTCTGGAGCTGCTGCCTGGAGGACACTAATACATATATATATATATATAAAAATATTAATACTTTGTAACAGGCCACAAAGGGGATGACATGGCTTTATTCTGCCAATATGCAGAGGATTAAGGGTTTCTGCTTGAAGCCACTAACAACCTGAACAGGAGAATTACAGTAATTCCACTAAAACCACACCAAATCCAAGGGACTGGCTGATGGCACGTTGTTACTCTTCCCACTTCTGTCAAAAATGTAGCTGGCACAACCCTGTGTACAAGACTTCAACCAGCTACTCAAGGAGCTCCAACTTAAAGAATGGTCTTAGAGGAGCCACACACAGCAGTGGGGACATGTCCCAGGAGACTTCTCAACATTTTGAGACCTAAATACTCAACATACATCGGTTTCTAAAGGGAAGTCAAAAATAGCAGTTAGCATGTGAAACACAGCTGAAACTCATGTCACTTACACCAGTCCATTTTAGTGCACAGCATTTCACAGCAAGATACTCCATGAAATACACAGACAACAGCAAGATACTCCATGAAAACCCTGCACTGCTTTAAGCCATGAGGTCACTGTTAGGACCCAAACACTGTTGTCATGACATCAAATAGCAACACTTTGCCTGTGCCAATGCCATTATTAATACCTTGAAATACTAATCTCTATTACTAATTAACAGTCAAATGCACTAAATAATTATTCATGTATTAGGAATGTATTACTGAATTCAATTACACTTTGAGAGCCGAGACTTATGAATCCTTCCCACAACACTACTTGTGCCAGAAAATATCCTTAAAAATTCAGCAACATTTAAAAGGCTTCTCATAACCAAGATACCTGTAGGTTGGAATAAACTGTTAGGCCCTGGCTCTGCAAGCCAGACAAGAGTCTGTCTACATGTCTGACTGTATCTCACCGTTTCCAAATGCAGCAGCCACACTTAACAGCTACAGTTACTCTACAGAAATTTAGCAGTTCATCAATGAGAATACCAATGCTTGACTGGAAATTCAGATCCTCCCTAAAACTAAGCCTGGCAACACAAGGAAGGATGCAGATGCCTCTATGTGTTTTGAAAACTAAATGTTATTCTGAACACAAAATATTGATTGTTTCAAGGAGATTACTGGCCTTCTGTTTGAACACAGCACAAAAACTAGTGAATATGCATTTTGAGAAAGATTTCACTTCTACATTCATTTAGAGCCTTGATATTTAGGTATTTTGGATGGAAAATTGGGATGCAGTGAGAATCTAGATGACTGATGAGCAGTACATACAGGAAATGTTATTTATATTGTGTGATGCTAAACCAAGTCGGTTAAACCCACAGTTTAGCAATGATAGCTGTAGTTTTGTGCACATACATCCAGACTAAGTACCTGCATTTTCTCATGCAAACACACACACAAACTGGTGTGTACACTCCGGATTAAAAAAACAGCAGTCGGCAAACAAAGAATATTAAATACTATACCTTTGAGTCATAATCTTATAGGCATCTGGCAGATAACAGCGGATATTCTCCATCTGAGCAGGATCAGAGTCACAGATTTTATCATCAGTCCTGCCGTAGTTGGCACTTTCGATCATGATAACATCTGTTCCCGGGCAGCGCAGCTCGATGGGGTAACTCTCGCAGGACAGCTCCCTTCGGACCACAGCCATGGGCACTGGGGCACGGCTGAAAGCTGCAAGGATTAACACAGAGACACAGTCAACACTGACTTCCCACACTGAGGCTAAAGTTAAAAGCAGAATCACGTTCAGCAGCAGGTTTTGCCCGTATGCTGTGCTGAGATAGATTCGGTACCACTCAGATAAGAGCTGCAGAAACGGGGTCCGGTCGCTGGCTTGCTGGCTGCCCAGAGAAATCACTTCTCCACTCAGTGACTTGATTCTCTCATTTTAAAAACAAGCTACAGATCCCTTGTATACAGGGCTTTAGAAATCCCTTATTGAAAGAGGTAAATAGCAACTATGGCATTGTTATTATTTCTACTTACCAGGTGAAAAATTAGTTGGCTCTGATATATAAAATTACAGTCCTGCCTTGTACTTGAACAAGCAAAGAAAATTTTATGACAACAAGCAATCCAAGCACCGGGATCCCACCTGCTCAGCAAGATTGCACCTGTCCTACAGCAGATGTAATAACATCTGTATTGCTCCTGGTCCTTTTCTTAGTCCTTAGAAAAAGTGATCCTAATGGCTTTTGCTGTAGCCTGCAGCATGCCAGGGGATGGCCTGCAGGTTCTGGCAACCATCCCAAAGTCTGGGCCCTGTAGTGGTACTTTCCATGGAAATGCCAGTTTATGGGACACCAGATGATTGACATTCAGTCTTAGCTTTGCATTGGATCTGCCTAGATGGTCAAATAGCTGGCAAATACTTGTGAAATTAAAGAGCTCTCAGAAATCTTACCTGTTTTAAAAGAAATCCAGGCTACAGTTTGCAAAAGAAAAAAAAGAAACACACTTTGAGATGCCTTGAAAACAAAGCCCTAAAGTATTAGTAAACAATGTCACTTGACAACAAGCAATTGTATTTCCCATCTTTACAGCCTCTTTGATCCAAAGATCTTAAACAGCTTGACGAATGTGAATATATTAATCCCCAAATATCCACATGAAGTAGCTACGCATTGTCTTTCTCAACTCAGCCACAGAAGGGTTTTGCAGCTTCCAGAAGATCTCATGGGATATCCATGGTGATGCTAGGAACCAAATACTTGTTTCCCAGCCCAGCACACGAGTCACAAGCTGAAATAAAAGCCAACTCTTTTCCTCCTTTATTCCACAAGAATGAAAACTCACCTGCACCAAAAAGGTCTCCAGATGTAGGGAAGATGTGCTACATTTGTACATTTCCAACACAAAACCAAACATACAACTCAAGCCTGTCTCCATGTGATGGCGACAGAGGTTTAAGCCTCCAGTAGACTCATGGCCCATCTGATACCAGGCATCTTTCAGAAACTCCCTTTCCTCCTGGCCCCATTATAAAAACACCAAAATACCCTCTGCCTAAACCAAAAACCCATCCAATGTTCTGCTGGTTTGTTCCAGAAAACTTCCCCATGGTACATGTATACCAAGTTTGCTTATGGAAAAGAGTATATTGATGTTTATCAAAATACCATTTTGACCATATCAAAGCTGCCTGTCTGTCAGGCAGCAATCCAACACACTGACTTCCATGAATCCTTCTATTATTATCAGTTCTTTCATTATATGTATCACTGGACAGATTCTCAGATTCTGATTTCTGTAAATCTGCAGGGATTACTTAGATATCAGACCCTCCCTGATGTGCCAGAGGTGTGGACTAATTGCCAAACTCCCAAGAGAGACGTGTGCTTATTCTTGAATAATAGCTTGCACAATTAGCACAGCTTTAGGGTTTGGATCACTTGAGATGTTCTCCTTCCCTGAGATCAGAGAAACGGTTTTGCCCTGGGCTCATACTGCACCATGTATTTGTGTAACACAATAAATTCTCACTGCCACCAACTTCTCCCATTACAAGAGGAGGAAAATGAGGAGGACAAGCATGAACCTCTAAGGTGCACTGCCTCATTCTTACCCTTGGCTTGATACCACCAGTCAACAAGGTGAGTGGAGGAAGGATGGGACAATGTCATAGACAACATTTGACAGAAGAGATAAGCCAGAAAGGCAGAGCCAGCAGAGCCCAGCAATTTTTGCCTACCCTACTAACAGCTTCAAGAGGCATTAAGTTAGCTTACAGGGATTTGTCCATAGAAACCTGCACCAAGCCCTTCTCTGTCAAACACTGGACTCCATGGCAAAAGGCCAGTGCTGACCAAAAAACTTCTCATGACAGGATTCTGATTTTGGAAAAGAGCTGTGGTGAGCTCTCCTCCCAAGCCTGTTCTTGCTAAACCTGAGCAGATTGGTGACATGGGAGGCAGAAGGTTTCTAGCAGCTTTTGGCAGAATGTTGAGGCCAAGGGCCCTCCCTCCTCCTGCCATGTGCTTAGATGACTCCTGTTAACTGCCAAAAAAATGACAAAACGAGGTTTACAGGCAATATTAGCTGTTTGGAGCTATGGTTTGGCCCAGTTCTTGGGCAATTTAGATCTTTTTCTCTGGAAGGTTAATGGAGGCTATACAAAGGGCAAAGAGAGCTGCTAATACTACTTTACTTTTTACAGTTCCCAGTACAGAATACAAAACTTCTGAGCCACATGGTTCAGAAAGTAAATTTTTGCTCTTAATTCCTATTTTTTGGGTTTTTTTTTCAGTAACTATTCTACAGCAAAGAAAGACATTGAACATGTGAGAGCTGAGGCAAGCCCTGCTTGAAATCACAAAAATTAAATGCCTGAGAATTCAACCATACAAACCTGGTGCATTTGTCCAACGCAATACTGTACAAACAACTCTTGCGTTATGCTGGAAATAAGACATTAAGCATTACTAAAAGCAAGTTACAAAACCATTAAAGATATTTCTCTACCTCAAATGAGAACAAATTTCTAGCATCATGGGTGTGTCTCCTCCTGTACATGAGACTTTACAGAATTGATCTACTAAAATTGCAAGCATATCAGTTCCAAGGATGCCCCAAAACACCCCAAACCAAAGCTGAACACCCCTTCCCCAAAATAACAGCTCATTTTCTAGCCTCCAGTAAAGAATCTCTGGACAGATGCAAACATTTCTAGATTCGGCTTTAAACTTCCTGGAATTCACCTTTTTGCCTTTCACATAATCACTCGACTGCTTGCTGTAAGAAGGACAGCTTTCACTAACAGACACTTCCCTGTGCTATCATGGAGTCAACATTCACATTTATTTTCTGGATAAAAAGCATAAAAAATTTAACACCCTGGAAAAACCAGAAGCAGCTGAATACTGTAATACAGCATGATTTCTTATCATGCTTTCTCCTAAAGCAATAAGCACATGTTTTCCATCCTGCCATTGTCCACCAAATCACTTGCTCTCCATGGCTTTTTTTCCTACTCCAGTATCTGCAATAAATACTCCAAAGGGAGATTAGAGCCTGGTTGTTTATCTCCTTGTGAACACGTTTTTTGTTGTTGTGTCCCTATATGATAATCTTACTTAATCATTTTTACTGGTTTTCCTGTAAGGAGCAAAGATGTTTTGCTTTTTTGCTGTGAAACAAGATACATCAAAGCCCATCTGTGAAATAGACAGCACGACTGTATTAATTCATTAATTCACTTCTCTCTTCTTTGAGCAGCTCCCTATCTTTGCAGTCTCTCATTGAGCTCCTTATTTAATCTCCTAAATAAGTGACCTAATTGTTGGCTAGAAGTCAAGAGGAGCTGATGGCTGGTCACTAGTTTGAAAAACAGGTGTCTTTTTCCAGGATCCTATGTGCAGTCAGCCACCTAAATACAGAACTTAAAAAGAGTGTTTTTCAAATTCTTTAACGTTTAAATGTGTGCCAACTTGAGTTTTTTAAGTGCAGCCATTTGGTGGAAAATAATCCTCCTGAGCTTCTGCAGGGCAAAGTGAGAGTAGAGGGTGAAAAGGCAACAGATAATGACAGGATTTTATCTGGGCGATTTAGAACTCCTTTGTCTCTGCTAATTTCAGGAGCTGGAAAATTAAGTAAGTCATCAAAATCTTGTGCTTTTTCTCCCCCTCGCTTTTGACCTCAGAACATAATTGCCTCTTGTCATGCCTGCAGGGCACGGGCTTGTAGTTATCACTGTGTGCTTAATCAAATGCTGAAACAGCCTTTAAATTATGTGTCTCCTTGGCTGCTAGAGACTTGTTGAGCTCTGTTACATTTAGAGGCATGATGGTAGTAGATGTACTTTTAAAAGAAAAGTGTGGGTTGATGCTTTTAATTAGGTTTTATATGCAATTTTCCCAGCAAAGTCATGTTCTGGCTCAGAATTTTCAGAACGAAATTTCAGTGCATATTTAAGGGCCGTGAAACAAAAGCTGGAATTGTAGAGATAATTATTTTCACAAGCTCTGTCTATGGTTTGGTCTGCCCAGCTAAGTATCTGACTTACTGTTCCCAAGTGCAAACAGAGCAGGCTGAGTGAAGAGGTTTCCTAGTAATTTGGAAGAATGCTTCTGTGTTTGTAATTTTGTGGTATTCAATACTCCCACAGTTCACCTTGGCTCTGTGGGGAAAAAAATCATAAAGTAATAATAAAAAAAGTCACCCTCCCCTTATTCTCAAGCCTACTCAGGTGTGGGTAGGAGCGGAAATCCTTTCAGTCAATGAGCTTTGTAGGGCTCTCTCCATTTTCTGAAGTGCTTTTCTAAACCAGGGCCCTGCTTCTCCCTATTAGGATATAAATGCTCCTTAGTACATTTTTGCAGCATGCAGACATTGCTCAGTATTTCTTCTCTCTCTTTTCCTTCATCCAAATTATGTCTGGCCTCTGATCTCAAGAACAATATTAATAGCAAGCAAAAGCTTGAGTTAAAGATGATGACAATAAACATTTCTCAAGCATCCAGTACTCCCAATTTCCCAGCATTTTATATCAACAAAGTTCTGACCAGCTTAAAAAAGCTTGGTTGGTCCAAAGTTCTCTGAAATCTTATGATTAATATAAAAATATGGAAATATCATTCTTTCTCCCCCACTTTATCTACAGATGCTGACAAAAAAAAATCACAAAAAACCCCAAAAAACAAAAAACACAACAACAAAAAAACCCACACACAACC